AAAGAGAATACATGTTTATTTGAAAATAGATCTTGTTTATTTAGTATACTGGTATGTAAAGAGAATACATGTTTATTTGAAAATAGATCTTGTTTATTTAGTATACTGGTATGTAAACAGAATACATGTTTATTTGAAAATAGATCTTGTTTATTCAGTATACTGGTATGTAAACAGAATACATGTTTATTTGAAAATAGATCTTGTTTATTCAGTATACTGGTATGTAAACAGAATACATGTTCATTTGAAAGTGATCTTGTTTATTCAGTATACTGGTATGTGAACAGAATACATGTTCATTTGAAAATAGATCTTTATTCAGTATACTGGTATGTAAACAGAATACATGTTTATTTGAAAATAGATCTTGTTTATTCAGTATACTGCTATGTAAACAGAATACATAATCATGGGATTCAGACCATTTAGATTAAATTTATTTTATTATTTTAAATATATATATGAAGCATATTTCTTGGTGGCATTAGAAAAAATTCTTGGTGTTAATTTGTAGATGTACCAATTCTAATTTGATGATGTATTTTAAACAACAACTGTTTAGAGAAGAGAATAAAATATGCAGGTATCAAGAGGCATTGATAAGTTTCTTCCTTTCTCACTTGGATATTTTTTGTTTTCATTAGAAGGAATATATACTTGTTTTGTTTTTTTTTATATTCATACTTGACAGTCAACCTTGGACAAAGCCAAACTAGCCGTTGAAAAGTTAGTGGAGAGAGTGGGGTTTTTGGGAATCCTTGCTTGTGCCTCAGTAAGTCAAACCATCATCTTTTGATTTTTCTGGACACTAGAATTAATCTTATTATAATCATATTAGCAACGAAAGACAAATTTGAAGTTGTAAAACATTTCTACACAGAGTTCCAACAGGTCGGGCAAGGTGCTTGTCTGGTTGTCACACGTTTCATTCATTTTGTTTTCTGTTTAACTTGATAGTTTCTTTCTGTTGTACTGGCTAGTATAATGTTTTTGTTTTTTTTAGATCCATGTTTCTTGATTGTCTTCATGAGTGTTACTTGCTTTTAGATTCCTAATCCCTTGTTTGATTTGGCGGGTATCACCTGTGGACATTTTCTGGTGCCTTTCTGGACGTTTTTTGGTGCCACTCTAATCGGTAAAGCTGTCATCAAAATGCACATTCAGAAACTCTTTGTTATCATTGCCTTCAACGAACACCACGTCGAGCACATTGTCAGTAAATTGAAGTATGTTGTAAATCTTTACAGCCTTGTCTACATGTGTGTGTAATGTCGTTTAATACAATTATTATTTTTATTAGTTTCATTTCCATCGCTAAGTATAGTTATATCAGGTTTTTAAACAATATATTTCAAGACTGTATGTGTATAGGTTTAATCTCTTTCCAGACCAGTTTCTGATGTTTCATACAAGTACGTATAGTATCATCCTGTTTTAACAAAATCTGTCGTGTTCTTTTCTTACAAAATAAAATTTGAACTGAAAAATTTACATTTAAGTTTTGTTTTAATATTAATTTCGTTAACACGTATTCTGGATATAATGCTAGAAACAAATGTAAACTGTTAACCCTTATTTTGATTTTTGTCCTCCCGGTTGTAATTTGTATTTTGGTAGTAGAAATAGTTAAACTCTCTACCTGCGTAGATAAAGCTTTGTCACATACGAAACATAACTGCAAATCTGTATGTATTTGAGTGTTGCTTACTTGGAGCTCAGATACTTTGAAAATTTGTATGCTGTGTAAAAGTAATAAATTAATTCCTTAAACCCAAATGAATGCTGCCAAAAATCTCCATTTACCCATCTGACGGTGACGTCGTCCAAGATTATCTTTGGCTGAAAACTATTCCAAACCATGATATTATCCACACAATTAAAAAAATTTCAATAAGTATGGTGATAATTATTAGAAAATCATAAAAATAATTCTGGCAGAATTGACAAAACATTATGGGTTTAAAGAGTTAATGTTATTAGTTCCTATGCTTGCACGTTTATTTAAAGTAATTATGGACTTTGTCTCAGCGTGAGCTTATAGATTAGGTGGAGGTGGTCTTTTTGAAATGGCTGTATTAATTTCTAAAAGGAGTAACGATGTCAGTTTTATAAATAAGGTTGATTTATATTAGTTTTAATGATACAGGAGATATTTTCTTTTCAAAGTATTTGATGTCATTAGGTGCGTGATTGTGTTATTGCTAACTAGTGTGAGTGAAACCTGGCTTTCACATCAAAAGCTGTGAGTGTGTTTGTGAAATGACATGGTATATAACTGTGTCATCTAGCAGTATCTATTACATTTTAAATTATTGATAAATCTAAGTTCAGAAATACCCAATAGTTTTATGTTTGGATTCTCTCTGTTTCAGATATGGTGACATTTATAAATTTAAATGGAAAAAGAACCATGAACAATTTATTTCTGACCATAGGCATGAGTTTTATGTTTAATTAAAAAGGTTGTTGAGCTAACAGATTTCTTTTTGTCTTGTATCAAGATACATCCCATATGTTGGAAAATATCTTCAAGCTCCATTTAAAGAGTTGCTGGTGAAACAGAAAGCTAAACTTCATCGTAAAGTTGGGAGTCCTGTACACCAGGTTGGTCATTTTTGTAACCAGGAGCCTTTATAAACTATAACTTTTAATTTAATTAAGTGTATCTTCACGAAATATGACAAGCATTTAGTAAACATTACAAGTATATTGTGTCAAAAAATTATATTTTTTAATCAAGTGTTTTTTAAATATTTATCTGAATTTATGAAGCCTTTTCTGAGTCAGTCCGAGTGCAAGGTGATTTAATGCTAAGAATAATCATTTTTCTTTCATCTCATAGTTTACACATTTCATTTGCCATAACCTTTAGAACCTCTTAACTGAATATCAAAAGTTTTTTTTCAATAAAACTATTTTATCCATTATTTTCTCTACTCTAACACTAACTGTATCTTCCTTGGTCACAATGACCGACCTTGTAATCATAACATAACAAAATAAAAAAAATTAAATTACTGATTTTTTTTTTCTAGAAAAACTGCACATTCTGACAGTCAATTACACATTATTTATTTTTACAGCCAAAGCTAACAGATTTTTCATTTAGTTTTATTTTTTTTTACAGTTACATTAAGATCCTCTCACAGTATCGCAATAGCTATTTGTTATGTGGAACGATATTATGTAAATATAGCAACAAGTGTCACCAGGACATGCCTGTCACAATCACTCCCGTGTTGAGCACATGATTCATGAGTATTTTGTCCACTTATTTGATTATCTGACCTAAGAGGCTTCTAAGTTTTACATCTTAATTTCCTTTTATAACAATAAATTAAAAATGTTCTTTAGAAACAAGAAATATGGTACTTATATCTGAAATCTTCTCTTCTCAAGCTCTTGTACTTGCATTAGAGAAGTCTGTGTAAGACTTTTGGCATAAGATTTAGTAACGATCTAAGAAATTATCTTTTAATTCTAATATACAACTTAGAATATGAAATATTGCCACTAATATATAATAAAATGTCCTAAAGCTAATAGAATTTATTTAACTAAGCTAGAAGTTGGCTAATTGATTCACATAGTTTGTGAACCAGAGTTCCAAGACTTGATGGCAAGGTCTTCAAAACTGGTTATCCCAAAGGCTTCTAGCATCATCACATTCAGTAAATTGTAATCTTGTCTTTCCATTTGTTAGGCATAATCAGAAAATTAATGACATCTTTTGAAAAACAGAATGTGCTGGAGGAGCATTGCATGTGGGTTTTACTTTTATTACATACATCTCAGTAAAGCCAGAAGCTTCAAGGCTACAAGTTAACATTTTAACTTAGGGATATCTATAGTATAAATGTGAAATATCACAGAAAGTTAGGAGGTTGAACAGGGGCAGAAAAATATCTAAAATGAAAGATTCAGAGTAAGAAGTGAAGATTGATAATTTATTTAAATATTTCCTTTTGAAATTAAGAAATGAAACACCTTTACAGTATTAAAATTTCAGCTATAAAATATATTTTGATGTCAAGTTTACTGATATACATTGGTAAATTATTTAATTAATTTCCAAAGGTAGTGACATGGACAATTTGACCCATGTGTGCTCGGGATAATTATTTTTATATATCTTCTATTGCCCAATAATGTTTCATTTTCTTTAACAGTAGAAACAGTTAATAACCAAATCAAGAATGAAAGTGAAAAAAAAGGATATTTAGTATAAGACATGTTTTAATGTTTATCTTTTTTTCACATGTAGTTTAATCATAACCATTTTAAGTGTGTATTTTGTATCCACCCCCTAGAGGGAGAGAAAGTATATCAAACATTACACTCGCCCAATTTTTAAATCATGGAAGAGTACACGTAAAAATACACAATGAACATGGCATCTTTATTGTTGTTTTACTGACTACTTATCCACAGGTTACATAAGTATGTATTAGACAGATTTTGTAACGTCTCCTACTTAGTAGAAGCTCAGTTGTAAACATAGATTTTGTAACGTCTTCTACTTAGTAGAAGTTCAGTTGTAAACATAGATTTTGTAACGTCTCCTACTTAGTAGAAGTTCAGTTGTAAACATAGATTTTGTAACGTCTTCTACTTAGTAGAAGTTCAGTTGTAAACATAGATTTTGTAACGTCTCCTACTTAGTAGAAGTTCAGTTGTAAACATAGATTTTGTAACGTCTCCTTAGTAGAAGTTCAATTGTAAACATAGATTTTGTAACGTCTCCTACTTAGTAGAAGCTCAATTGTAAACATAGATTTTGTAACGTCTCCTACTTAGTAGAAGTTCAATTGTAAACATAGATTTTGTAACGTCTCCTACTTAGTAGAAGTTCAATTGTAAACAGATTTTGTAAGGTCTCCTTAGTAGAAGCTCAATTGTAAACACAGATTTTGTAACGTCTCCTACTTAGTAGAAGTTCAATTGTAAACACAGATTTTGCAACGTCTCCTACTTAGAAGTTCAATTGTAAACACAGATTTTGTAACGTCTCCTACTTAGTAGAAGTTCAATTGTAAACATAGATTTTGTAATGTGTCCTACTTAGTAGAAGTTCAATTGTAAACATAGATTTTGTAACATCTCCTACTTAGTAGAAGCTCAGTTGTAAACATAGATTTTGTAACTTCTCCTACTTAGTAGAAGTTCAGTTGTAAACACAAATTTTATAACGTCTCCTCCTTAACCCGAATATAAGGTGACCCCCCCCCCCCCCATCATCAGAAACCCTGGGAAAGAAAAAAAATTGAGTGTCATAACACCCTTTTTAGGTCTGCAAAATCAATACTATAACTGGACAGCCAGTAGGTGGATTAGTTGCGAGGGTTAGCGATGATCTTGAGCGAACATCTGGCTCGCATGTGTAGACGGATGCTATCCGTACATTCAGGAATGTGACAGGCTACTACTGTGTGGTCAGCCTCGATTGTAAGGCTACTGTGAATTTTACAGCCTAATTATTAATATTGCCTTATAATTGGGCCAATATGGTACATTGTTAGGCTAACACTTGCCTACATTTTTTCTCCATATTTATAAAAATGTTAAATTATTTATTGAGATAAATTTCCAGGAAATCTTTAGGCTTAACATTAATATTTTAATCATTTTTTAAAAACGTATCAGAAAGTGTTACACACTGATTATTCTAGGTCACAAGTACGAGTCAAACCATACACTAAAGGTTGTAACATAAAATTGGCATACATTAATAAAAACTCTTATTTAAAAGTTATCTTGTATGTTTAGAATGGATTTGACTGGCTATATTTATATTAAAATTAAATCTGACAGATCATTCAGAAAGTTGGGGCTAATAAAACAAGATAAACCTAAGTCACAATATTAATACTTTAACATAAAATTTAGCAACAATCAATTTGAACCTTTTTATAGAATTTGCTTTACCAAAATTTGTCAGATTTTATAAGGAAATTAATTATTGTTGAAATTTAAAAACATTTTGAACGTAATGCGTGGAGAATTAATTTCGTGTTGATTTCAGTAATCTGTAATTTTTACGTGCTCACCAGACTTCTAGGTCTAACAATAAAAACTGTATTTGAATATCACTGAATATCACTCTTTCCGTGAGCAAGAACAACAAACACAATGTGCTTTAATTACGTGAATAACAAGTACTTCATGAACTACTATACGTGTTCATACAGAGAAGTTGTGTAAAATATTCCTTCTCTGTAGGCTTAGCACTTTTTTTTTACCCCCCCCCCAACATGATAATTTTGTTTAAGCATTACTTAAGTTTTCAACACTTATGTAAATGATATAGCTCCTTTTGTGGAGCACATCACAAACACAGTCATAAAAACCTTCCATAAAACTATGTTTTAGTTGTGATGCATCACACTCGCACAGACTGTGTTTTATTCTTGTTATATAACATCACCATGCTGTGTAAGCCACTGTCCATTTTCTTCAATATAATATTGATTTTGTAAGTATTTACACCACTTTCATTATCTCTGTTTTAGTAATATTTCCTGTAATCAGAATTGCTTCACTAGTACATAAGGTAGTTTAAGCCTTATTTATAGGGTTTTTGAATCCCTTTTAGCTTATCATATAGTAACTTAAATTAATTTTGGTGTGATGAAAAGAAGGGATATCTATAATATAGTTTAGGCTTTGGTCCTGTTCGTATAAGACACCTAAAGTGAATACCTTCTTGCAAAAGATGATTACATCGATTATTTTGGTTTGTTATCTGTATTGTAGCTGATAGCGATTAGTCAGCTTTGTTCTGGTTTTGTAAGTGTAAACACTGTTATTATAAGTTAATTTTAAAAATAAATTTTTTATTTGTACTAATTTGCATTGTTGATGGTTGGTAAGAATTGGGAAACAAGGGTTACAAAATTAAAAGGACTAGTACACAAAGTATCGTTGGCTTTTAAATTAAATGTTTATATAAAGAACGGGGTTTCTTTAAGTAAATTAAGAAATTCTGCATAATTTTATTCAAATATCTTTGGACCAGAATTTTTTTTTCATTACATGTTGTATTTCTCCATTCTTTTATTCAGGAAAGTAGCTGGTTGTCTTGGGTATTTGAGAAGGTTGTGGTTCTGATGATCGTCTACTTTGTTTTGTCCATCATTAATTCCATGGCTCAGAGTAACCATAAACGTCGGTGTAAACAACAAGCACTGCAAGTTGAACCGTCCCAAAAAATGGCTGTTGACTAGAGGAAACTGCTTGGTATTGACTGTTTATCAAAATAAACAAGAAAAACTTTAGTAAATTATGTTGCTGAAGTTAAAAGAAAAATGTATTTATTATATGACATAATTTGGAATAGGAAAAACCTCCCTATTGGTTCATGTTATCAATTGAGATATTCTTTTTATAATAAATTCTTAAATATTTGTGTAATATCACGTCGATACAGCAGCGGGTGTCTGTAAGAACCTCGGCAACATTTAGAATTAGTTATATAAGTGCATAGATTGACCTTTGATCCGTGTCAGGCAAGAGTTAAGTATCGCTGGTGAGTATAGTACTAAATGTTAGAGATTATCACTGAATTAATCGGAAGATACCGGCCTGATGTACCTTATTGGCTTGTAGTTTGGGTTACATCCCACAATGTCTATTTGGTATACTGTTATAAGTAGCAGTAGTAGAATTCAATAAAGCATAAAGTATGTTTGAGTAAAATACCAAAACATTTAAGTTGTATAAAGGTGAAGAATAAAATAAGGGAGACGTAGTCTCGGGATTCACAGTTTCTCATAAAGATGTACTTTTAATAACACGATTAAAGCTGTGGTTGAACAACCATTAGATATAAAGGATGTTTTATTCATGGTTGATTCTGTTTGACTGTGTAACGATTCATAAAAAGAAACTTTTAGTTAATGTAAACCAACCTTGTAATCAAACTTGTTTGCATTTTGTAAAAAATGTAAAGGTTTTCTTACACGAATTAAAGATGTACTAATTCTTAACCTAGCTTAATGAAAACTAGAAATCACCTGTTTAACACTTAGATGTTAGGGTCGGTTGCTCCGATATTTAACCTTAATTATGTAAAAAAGAAAGTTTTTTTACAGCGTATGAAAAAAAACAGGTTGAAAGTTAAATAATTATACAGATAATGTCTGAACTTAATTAAGTTAGTTTTATTAAAATTACCTTTATTTAAAACTATTGTAATGAAATTGAAAAACATACATTAACATATGTTTGTATAAAATTTATTGTTTGGGTTAAGTTGGAGCTGTTATTTTTTGGATCTGATATTCAAATTTAGTGTTTTTCCAGATATTGTGTATTATTTTAAAAATCAATATCTTGATGTCAAAATTTTTTCCTGTCATTATAACAAAAAACCAAAACCTATAACTGATACTAAAATCCATTGTAAGAATACAAATAAAGAATCACAGGGTATTAATAAAATACTTGATATACAAACCGATTAATTGTTAGAAGTAAGTCATAGCACTAGAGTAAAACGTTTCGTATTATTAGTCAAATGTTTTTCATAGTTAGGTTAAATTGTTTAAATTTATTATATACCGAAGAATGAAAGGCACATTGCCTTTTGTCACTTTTTTGTCAAAGTGAAAAGTTGGTGGACTAAAGGTGATAAGAATAGGAGAAGAAGAAAAATTATATTTCTAATAGTTTCAAAGGAATAATAGTAGCAATCACTCAAATTTACTTGCTTACAACATGAGGTTCTGAAGGTACAGTGTAACTACATTTGAGGCAAATTAGTTTGACATTCTAGTGTAAGGAAAAATGTTAAGAAAAATTCAGATGATAATTTTTTAGTTGTTCTTCGTAATGTATTGTTACGATTGAAGTTTTAACTATTTCATTTCAGTTTTTTTTCTTTTCACATTTATCTTGATGTTTGAAGAAGAAAACCCATTGTTATATATATTGAAAAGTTGTCAGATTGTTAGTTTTTTTTTGGTCTTTAATATATCATCAAGTGGAAGCTCAGAGTGAACATAATAGCCATGATTTTTTAGGCTTTATAAATATACTTCAATCAGCACACATCAAACCATCTAGAAATCCATCTGTTTTTGTAAAAGTTCCATCCCATCTGCTCTTGCAGATGTCCATTTTAACATTCCTTATATTTTGTTTACCTTGAAATATGTTCGTTATCGTTACGTACAGTTGTCCATGTAGGCCTAATGTTCTGCTTGAGAACCTAACATCCTTTCAGTTTATAGATCTCAGAATTGTACAATCTTGGATAGCACAAGGAAAGCATTTAGATTTGGAAAAGTTACAAAGGATTTGTACAACTCTTTTGGAATCAAAAATTGATACAGTAAAAAAAAAACTTGTAACTTAAACTTAATTGATAAAATTGTAATAGAGTGTTTGCGTGTAGTATTTATGGAAGAAATTCAGTGCTGCATTTCAGAAAATGTAAATTTACAAATAAATACAGTTGAAGCAAGGCCAAAAAACAAGGAATATATGACTTTTAAAAACCTTCAAGAAATACTACCAAATAATCTTCGTTAGGTCTTAGGAGTGATTTAGCTTAGTATTTACTTGTCTTTCATTTTGAATGTATAATGTTTCTCAAGCACTGTTATAGAGTTGGTTTTCTAGTATCTTAAATTATTAATAAATACTGTTTAAATAATCAGTGTTTATCAGTTGAAAAACAGGTATTCAGTTTCAAGAGTAATCAGAAAAATTTTTGTTTTCATACAATGTTATATTTTCTGTAACAAGAATTAAAATTTTAAGCATAAACACATTGGTTTTATATCGGTGTCTTTATGTACATGTGGATTTTCTTGTGTGTCAGGTGCTTTAACTACAAGTGAGTTAAGACTTGATCAAAACACATTGTTATTTCTCTTTGTGTCTAAAACACTATTTTATGGCAGGGTTGTAAATTTTTTATCATATTTAGTGCAGGTATTACAGTTATTTTATTCTAGTTATATATTTGTAACATATTCAGTTGTCAGTATTTCAACTAGGCCTATTCAAGTCTTAATAGTAATTAATCGACAGATTTTTTTAAAAGATGTGTGGAAGGGGGAAAAGAGAAGGGTGAGCCAATTTAACATGTATTTGTCAGGGACGGAATAAGGAATTTGTTTCACTGTAGATGGCCGTAAAAATCTAGAGTGTCATAGAAGAATTATGTAATAATAAAGCAGTGTTTATTTGTATAAGCCAGAAAGCAAAATGTACATGTATTAGATATTCAAAAGGTTAGTTGGTATACTTTAAAACTAGCTGTGTCAGAAAAACCATTAGTGTTTATAGAGGCATTAGTTTACCGAAGACTTGTGCAAATGTCAAAGGGGGAATGTAGAGAACTACATATTCTAAAACGAGATGTCTTCAAAGATTTATTTATTTTTATTTCTGATAAATATAGCGAATAGATTGAAGATTAGGATATCTCTCTTTTTGTCTTCTTTTCATATTCTTGCTGTTCTAAGTTTTTTCATTAAACTTTATTAAATGTTTTAAAGTCATTGTGTTTTTGATATAAATTTTAGTGGGCAGGGTCAGAGCTCTTCAGTTTCCAGTATTGAAACAAAAGGTTTCACACCTTAAATTTACTGATATACACTGTAATGAATAAATATCAACTCATCAAATTTTCATTTTTTTTTCTTTTCCATAGTTAATAGCCATCTGTATATAAGTATTTCAAATGCATTCTCAAAATTATTCACGAAGAACTGTTAGACTCTATTTCAGCGAAGTTTGTGACTCAGTCTTGAAAGTTATTCTACCATTGTTATATTTTTATACATGTATGGTATTGTTCAGGACTTAGACTAGCAACATGCAAGATTTTGAGCCAGCTATGTGTAGGTTCTTTCACTGACTAGTGATAGCAGTGGTGTTGGAAACCTTTTTTTTTTTCATTGCATACTGGTCTTTTCTATTTTACTGAAGTGTATATGTATAATCAAGTGGTTTTTCACCTGTTGAAAGGTTACTGTAAGTTGAATTATATGAACAGCATACAAACCGTAACAGTTCTCAAGAGTACACCAATTTATTTCTGCATTCATTATCCACACTACAATATTTCTAACTGTATATTTATGAATCTAATAGTCGGTATTTATATTATACAATTAAAATTGTAATTTGATGAATTTCAGTCCATTGTAATTTTATCCAAAAGGTTGTTTTTATACAGTTTGAAGTTGTGAAATCTTAAAAATTCAGTAACAGTTGAATAATATTTCTTCTATTGATAAAGAGTGGAAAATAAAAGAATTATTCAAGATGATGGTTAAAATTGTAGGGTAATTAATTGCTCATTTCATATGCTAAACTTTGTAATTATATTTATATACAATTTTTTTATTCTTCTGGTTGTTTTAGTCCCACATTCATTATAGTCTACTATATAAGTGGATTAGCTGTGATGCTGATGGGCATTTAGTAAAAGAATTTTGGAAAATGAAGTTTTAGATTGACGTTATTTATTTCTGGACTGGAACGGCATTCCCATTGTATCTCATCGTACATTTAACCTTGTACCATATCTATAATAAATCTAAGGAAAAAAAATGTTGTGTGTGTGTGCTATTTCTGGTTCACAAAAGAAATATAAAAAGAATTCACCAATAATGTTCAGGTAAATATTTTTATATGGGTCTCTTTTGTACCTCTAGTTTATTAGATAGGATTTTATCTCTATCGTAAACTCTAAGTAAAGGACAATAAACTGTATTTAATGGAGTTTTGAATGTGAATTATACAAAATTGAATGTGGATCAGTAGAAGGAAGACATTTTGCAGGAAAATATGTCGAGGTTTTACGAAAATAGCTTTGTGGTATGTAATAATGAAATCCAAGAGAAACAAAAAAAGTGCAAAATATCGTCTATAAAGTTGGTGTTTCAAAGAACCTTGAAATACACAAACCACATTAAAGTTTTGTTTTAAAATTACCCAGTATAAACTTAAGGTATGGAATGGATTGATATTACCATGAGTTGATTGAAAACTTTTGTTTCACCATTAGAATTAAATTCATTGAAGCCAGGTTGTGAAGAGAATTTTAAACCTGGTTTACAAAACTGTTACGTTCTTATGATAAATAAGAGAGGAAAACTGAGTATCCTTTGAACTTCAAGGGTCGTAAGAAGTTGGACTAAAAAAAAAAATGTGCTTTGCATAGACGGAAGGTTAGACGAGGGTAAATAAACTAGAAATTAGATCAAATAAAAGTTTTATGCTATTAACATTAGGAGTTGGAACAAAATGACGTGCTAGATATTTGATAAAAGGAAGTGATCTGTGTAAGAAAAATGAAAATTAGACAAGGCTTAGTGCACTAGAAGGTAGAACAAAAATACATACTTTTTGTAAAATTGTGGTTTTCACAAATGGAACCAATTTCTTAGCAAGTATCGGGGATATTATTCCACAATAATGGCTGAATTTGCCCAGGAAATTCACGAGGGGTTTTGTGATAAAGACAATTCGTACAAATAACGAAGCTGGACACCTTTTCAAACAACAAACAGAATTGTTATTTTAACAACAAAAATAAAATCAGTACGTATACCCACCATGGATAAGCTAACATTCGTTTTTCCCTTGGCTGGTGCTTAAGTCCTGTTGCTTTCTTTCTCACAAAATTGAATGCTTCAACACTAAAACACTAAGATCTTCCACAAAGAGAACAGGTCATTCCTCTTGGTCAGCTAATGGAAAATTGAGTCAAGTCACACTTGGATCTAGAATGTAAACTCACTTTATTTGTCCAGTGGATGGCATCACCTCAGGATCTCTGTTCCCTGAGAGCATTGGTTTGCTATCACCTTCAATCATTGTCACATTCAGCCAAGATATGATATTTCAGTTCTAACCCATTCAACCCAGATGTTTCAGCTAATGCTGGAATATCCTTGTGGACAGAGGAGACATTACATACTAAACAGCACAAAGAATGAAATAACTAGGACAAAGCAACTCTGGACAGCTTGTTGCTGTCACAGCAGTGCAGAAACTAGATAATCTAAAATTTTGCTGATTTCTGTATCACTATAGAAGGTAGAAAACACTAGGCTGGCCACATTAGAAGCCGAATAAAAATGCATCCTTTGTGGGTGAAGAAAGAAAATGAACATTAGAGATGAGATAATGAATGTCACCAAGAGAAAACTAGAAAAACAAGTCCTGATAGCAAGAGCTCTACCTTATACATATTTCAGCCTTGGGCCATGGCATTCTTCTATTGGCTACGCCACTCAAGGTGATACTGTACTTTTACAAGTAGGATAAGTGCAACCTCAAGATTCTACTAAGCCAGAGAAGAAAAAAACATTCACTAAATTCTATCCCAAAGATAGTAAAAAAAAATTTCCTGAAACAAAACTACCAAATGATATCAAATTTGATCCCAGTCAACATGAAAAATGTTTGGAGAATGTACTCAATTATTCAGTCACTATAATTAGTATCACCGAAATAGACTTAACGTACGTCAACTATAGCGAGAACTGACCTAGCCGTTGGTTTGAATAATTTATTTACTATCTAAAGCTTACAAAAATCTATAAAAGTAAGAACAGACTATTTGTTTTAATAAAATGATTATTTCGTAAGAAGTATGTAATTCCCAAAAGAATTGAATTAAAAATCCAACATTAACTTAAAACCATCACAATATTCAGCGCTGTATGTAAAAGTGACACTACATGTGTTTGTTTCATGAAAATAATGACCACTTGTGGATTATTTACAGAAGAATTTTGTACCACCACATAGACAGGGTATTGCCCAAAGTTTAGAAAATACTGACGTGTGATTTTATTACCACTGAGAGTTATCTATCTATAAATGTTGAAGGATGTCACAGAAAAGTACATCATTCTGGACTGCAGCCATTTCTTTGAAAAAAAAAAAACAGTTTATTATTCACCATACACACAAGAAATAACCTGAAAATTCCATCTAAAGCTTAGATTTTTAATTGCCACAATTCTTGTTATAACAAGTGGTAATGGAAAACAAAAAAATGCAAAAGGAGAACTCGCTCCCTTTCTACACTGGATAATCCTGGTTTTAAAAGGAAAACAAAATCACATTTATTTGCCTTGCTAGATTTCTAGAAGTTACTTATTCCACAAAAGAAATACTGACATGGTAGAGGTCACGGACAGAAGCACGATATTACAAAGTTGGATATATATACAGCAGCAGTTGTAAATAATGCTGATTTTGAAGGCACAACTGATAACACAATATTAAATAATGAATGTACAGAACTTAATATCACACAACATGTTTTATTTCACATCGTAATCTTTCCCCCAAAATAAAAAAAATTCAGTAATCAACAACGCAGAGACAGACACTCGCACAAATATATGTTCTTCCAATATGGTTTAACCGGCAAAATCTAACAGGTTCACATTCTAGAAACGACTATTTTTTGTAATTTTATATTGTAAAACTTAAACTTACAGAAAATTTTTATTCTATAGAAGCAGCCTGACCAAAAGATTATACACACACAAGCAAATAACTGCTAATTTGTTTCAATGTAAATTATTCAATTTGAAAGATTATTTTTTTCTTCCACCTAACACAAACATCACAGATTTCTAAATGACTGATGTATCAACTAAGATACGGATTTCCTACTAGTCTTGCAACCCTTAGATTGAAATACAGGAAAATGAATATTTACATAAATTCTTTATAAAGTATAATTTTACTTCTACGTGCGATTTCTTGCCTCTAATTACAACTGAATCTACATAAAAACATAAATATTCCGTTAGATTCGTACATATATTTCATGCCAAAAAAATGTATAATGTATCTATGGTAACATACCAAACTTAATACAGATTAACATAATGAATAAAATCACTTGGAAAATGATAAATTTCTAAAGAAATGTCAGTACGTCAAATGTTCTATAGACAAACACAAGTGTTTTTAATTACTGAAGTGAGTTATTTCTAGAATTTCAAACTTTCTTTTCAAAATACAAAAAGGACATAATGTATTAAGAAATAAATCTGTAGGAGCTGAGGTTACAATACCGATTATTTTATTTCTGCTTCGTAAGTTGATCACAAAATATACAATACATAAAAACTTTTAAATTTATATTCACTGCTGAAACTTGTGATATATTAAATAGAAGCTGAATGAACTTTGTAAAACAAAATAATTGTGACAAGCGAACCTAATGTGTTATAGTTTGGAATTAACAAACTCGAAAACTAGACCCCCCCAAAAAAAAACGTCTAAAAATATGAAGAAAAAACTTAGATGTTCATAAAGCATACTGAAAGACTTATTTGTAGAATCATTAATGAAGTAAGAAGTATACAAGTTTTCATTTTTCAGTAAGCTATTGGCTGTACACCTTGAAGTGAAATTTACGAAACACCACTAGGATATCATTTTGAGTAAAGTTATTGTGGATCTTATACCAAAAATAATTTTAAGGTAAACAGCACATTACAAAAGTCAGTGTTAAAGCTAAATGAATAAAAAACTATGGATTTGTATAAGTTTACCATTTAAAATAAAGATAAAACAGCCCGATAAAACAAAACATCAGATTGTACAAAAATCTGTAACACACACAAGTCGTTATAATGTACAGTTCCACTTAATATTGAAATACAACAATCTTTAACACCCAGACCAGATAACAGATACTGTTGTGTAACAAACAGACCATATAACACGTTTATGTATCAGGAATGGAGACCAGGTGAAATTTCCTTACAGATAACAAATGGGTAAATGTGTATACCACTGAGGTATCTAACATGAACTGCTGCCAACTAACTTAACTTAAAAAAAATGTTTTCCTAGGACACGATAAAACTAAAACAAACAAAATTATGTTGAAATTAATTTTTGCTAATTGGATCCTGTTAATTTTTTTTTCCTTGTACTACTACTCTTTTTTTTTTTAACTATCTGTTACATCTTATATGGATGAAACAATAAAAAAAACTAAGTTTTTGCACACTTCACATCCTAGAAGCTCAAATTATTTTAGGATATAAAACATTACCACCTTCTATGCTCTAAGTCTACTACAACAATTCAGAAACAGAATTGGTAATAAGAAGTGAGAGATAAAATGAAATAAAGCTTTTCTCATTATACCTGGATACATCAACTACAATGACAAAAAATAGTCTAACTGAGGTACAAAATAGTCTACCTTGAAGCATAAATCTCTGTTGGTTGAGAATCAGTGTAAAATATTTTGAATTGAATGTCTTACATTTTAAGTTCATGTCAGTAGAGACTTGTATACTCACTGTTACAAAATTAATTTGAACTGTCGAATGAACTAAAAAGAGGTTTTTAATTCAAATAGTGTTATGTTCATGTCATTAACCCTTTTTGTATTTCAATTGCATTTCCTTGTATCATTATTTTTTGGATCTTTTGTGTTCATGTTTTTAAATCATCCATTTTAACAAATCCTGAATACAATCAGTTACTACTATGTTAGTTTTGTAGACTTGTTTTTATCAATGCAATCAAACTAAGGATTTTAAAACCATTTTTCTGTTCATTAATGTAAAAATGTATGTTAGTTTTGTAGACTTTTTTTACAATGCAATCAAACTAAGGATTTTAAAACCATTTTTCTGTTCATTAATGTAAAAAATGATTTCGTAGTTTTAAAAAATAATAACTTTAACAGAGTATTGAGTACATTTAATTATTCATTAAAGGCCATTAAATTAAAAAGCAGGACACATATATTCAAGGTGTTAAAAACTAATTGTGTTAATTTTCTAATTAATCTTTACTACTCTTATTTACATTTTAAATGGCTGGTATCATTTCATGCATTTCTAGCTGTGGCATCATTCCAAGCTCTAGTAGTGTTCTAATTTTATGAAATGAATGATGTTCTTAGTTTACAAAAAGTTAAGCAAACACAATCCAGTAATAGTTAATGGTGCAGACAGATAACCGAATTTAGAATTAACGTTATAATTAGTATTCCTTATAATAAACATTAGTTGGTTGTAATACAAAATTTCAAATTTCTATCCTGTTTCTCCTTAAATAAATTAAAATGCTCATAAAACTTTGTCAGAAATAAACCACATAATTCTAATAAATGGAATGATAAAACAATATAAATACTAAAATATGAGGCCTAGGTTTCAATCATTTAAATGTGCCAAGAAGGTCTTTCAGAAATCACAATGTTTTACTACTCTTGAATTTTGTTTGTGAACACTATTTACAAAGAATAAACTCCAACACATCTACAAGTCAATTAATATACATATATATACAAAGTAGTTTCAACACAAAACTTGTGTAAACTTACAATAATGATAACTTCCTCAAATTAAGCAAATTTTACATCAGCAGTTCTTTTTTTAACTGTGTAACATCACTGTTTGAAATAACTCCAGTCTGTTAACCAAGTATCACAGCCAATCGTTCCTACTGTGATATTGATAAGTTAATAGTTCCTTGCTGTCGAACAGGTTGTGCAACCTGGGTTCCATTTCCTACACTGACCACAACAACAGGCTTCACCAATGGCTGGGCACTGGCAGCGACCAATCCAACAGTGGGTTGCAAAAACTGAGGCTGAATAATTGGAATCTGCCCAGATGTCTTAAGGAGTGGTGATGTTGCAGCAAGTACCTTTCCTAGTTGATGTGATTGTGTGATGAGTTGAGCCTGGTTCAGTGGTCCTCCGGGAGACACCACCGACATAGGAGTCACTAGAGGAGTGATTGCCGACACAGCAGTAACACCCGACACCAAATGGCTCACCGAAGCAGTGGCTGTCGGAGACTGCATGACGTGCCCCATGGTAGATAACTGGGAGAGCTGTGCCTTGGGTTGGCCGGTCTGATTAACTGGTTTAAGACCAGCAGTAACCAGATGGCGTCCCATATTGTTGACTTGAGAACCTGACATAAAATACATCATTCATGGGTAAACAATGATTGATTATGTAATACATCTTAGCTTTCTGCGTTAGTCTTGACCATATAAAACATTGTAATTCAATAGATTGTCTCTTGACTGAATTAAAAGTACGTTTTCATTCTTTTTTAAAACATTATATTTTGGTCCTATTTAACATCTGAGTGGAAATAGTTTTGTGGGGAAACAGTATTTTTTAATAGGATAACAAAATATTAATCAATAATACAATGAAAAAAGTTATAATTTTACTTATACTTAAAATGTATTTCCAATAAGTACTTACCTCCTTTCACATAAATAGCTATTTTTGTTCAGTGCTGCCCTCTTTATGAAAATTTTTTTATGCATGCAACAAGCCTTTTACCTCCCCTCCATTGGAATTGACTGATTCCAATGCATCTCTCATGAAAATCATCATGTGACGCTCTGGTTATGCATGTGACTCCCTCTATTCAATTCTACATAACTATCACTTCTCGTTTAGACAGAAATTGGAAGCATTGGTGTTCAGTGGGAGGAGGTAAGTACCTATCAGAAATACATTTTCAGTATATGAAAATTATAACTTCTGATAAGGTACATTACCTTCTCTCACATAAATAGCTAGATCCTACATTGAATA